TTTAAATTCAATTCGGTAAAAACAAACTGCATTGCAATCCCTGTACAATGTTTTTGAATATTTTTGTTTATACAAAGATGTGAGATGGCGTCGTTATTTGTATTTCTATAGTATCTGCAAAAAGGCGAATTAAGTAATGTTACAAGAACTTAGCATGTTGTTATCTCAATATTTCTTCAATCTCATCCAAGAACATGAAATGCCTGAGAAAGTATAAAGCGAAACTACATGGAAAATACTTAAATCACTGTACGAACCAAACATATCTTATTCTGCACTGTGCGGCTAAATACATAATTCCTATTTTTAGATTTTTTTTATATGTATGGTCCTGCTTTTTTAAAATTACCATTTAGGTCGGATTTATTAATAAGAATGTAGTCATTTATTATACAAACATACACTACAAAGGTTTTATGATGCAGCATACACTTTGTGTAGATTTGTTGTTTTCTATTTTTGTGAAATTGTGTCCACGTAATTGGACCATGACTATCAACCCAAGTTAGACGTCACTAATTTCGTTTCAAATGTATGTGTTTCGTTAAGACATATAATGTATATATATGTCTCATAGGTAATAACGACAGTATGATCCAATATAGGTACTGGATCCGAACAAACAAATTCTGGTTAGATGCGTATTACTTAAATAGATAAATGGGCAAAGAAGTGATAACGACAGTACAGACAAAGGAACTTGTCAAATGTCCAGGACGATCAGACAGATACACAGTCATCATGAAACAATTATACAATAAAAATACATAAACAAACAGAATATATATATATATGTACATTCTCAATAACGAGTCTTTAGTACTTACATTTATATATGCATTGCATGAAAACAGAAAGCAGCGTTAATCTTAAACTTATCTGTCTTTCATGCCGTTTTCTGATTGAAACCAACATATCGAAAGTTACACATGAAGATTGTTACTTGTTTTTTGTCTTTGTTCTTTTTTTTTACTTTTCAGAGTTGTCCCAGTCATTTAATATTATCCCATTGATAAAAGTATCGTAATTTCGGGAATGAATTCCACCGTGTTTCAGACATGAATAACTTTTATCCCAAATATTGCTTCTTGCGTTTACCCTATGGCATCTGACCTTTTGTCTGAAGTTATTGGTGAGTTGATTGGTTATTGAGTTTTCTATATACTTTTTGACGAATGCAACAATGCAGTTCAAGATAAGCATATTCCTTCATAGCACATGCTTTCGACTTCCTCATGGGAAATCATTTTTATATATATAATCATTTCCCTTGTTTTCTTTGTTTGCTGTTATTCATATCTGTAACTGTATATATTCGATTTTACGCATAGCATACACAAAGATATACTGATATGTATTCGACAAGACATGAAAAGATGGCCTATAAGATTTTGTAAAAATCTTATTCAGCTTTTATATTTTGTTATAATGCAGTTGTAAAGAATAACACGCATTCAAAATATTACCTAATCACCAAATGCATTCGAGCGTGAATTGCCGTGTTCGTAACATCAGTGAACCATTAAACGCACGTGCTATGTTGATTTACGAGGCGCCTGATTGCATCTTTTGCGAACTTAATCCGATTAAAAGGCATTATGAAATACGTTGTGAAATTGAACCTCATCCAAGTGTAGTGTCACTTAACGGCCAATACCGAGTACTTAAATGATTAACGCGGCATGGAACATCATCGTTATAGCAATGTGTTAATTGCAATTACTTGACCAGCGGTATTTTTTCTGACAGTTCCGCATGCATTGCCGGTTATGTTATGCCACAACAATAAATAACTTCATGATGACATTTTTTTTATGGAAAACTGACGACCGGTTATGCATTATTCGTCATTAACATTTAGGAGAGGGATTATATAGGCTTTGGCTGTTGCCCAATTTCTTAAGAACGTAAGATTAGTACAATACAATATTCTGAAAGAAAGAAAGTACTAACATTTCGAAGATAGAAGACAGCAGACACTACCGAGTGTTTTGCTTGAGTTGCAATATGTTTTGTTTGGTTTCTTCTCGATTATCATTGCTTTGCATTGATGTCTACTTCGAAATCTATGTTTGGGCTAACAATGTATAATTTGTATAAATGCTGTGACATATACCTCAGTACTTATTACAGAAGTAGCTCTTAATTCTATAAAGGGTAAGGTCTGTGGTCTCCAACATATGTACAGCGTCACCCTTGCGTTAACTCGTTTACACTATATACAATTTTATTCAGATGATTCATCAATATCTATGATAAATAAAATATCATTTTTGAAAATGAACAGTTTGACATAAACAACAAGCTGTTAACATTTCTATTCTATAACATTATTTATGCTGACACCATGTGGTCAGCATATTCAAAACCTGTGTATGAAACATTTAACAGTGAATTTGGATTATTACGACCGGACAATTTGAACATAAATTATTATGTATCAAAGACAAACAATATATATTGTTTTTTTAATAAGAGGAATTATTTTATCACTAGTACGTGTATTCGACGAACAAATAATTATAAAATGTGATTCACGTAGCATTGTGTGTAATGAACAGTGATAACAGTCTACATTTATTAACAAGAACAAGGACAGTACCACTAATTATTTCCTATGATATAACTATAACAGTACGGTCGATATATGGGTTGGAAACGAGTGTTGTATTGACTCCAGAACGTTGCTATACGCTGGTTACTAATGATATATATATCCATATTTACATTTACGTTATATTTTCGCTGCATACACATTATAATCCATCTACTGGGAATCTGGTGCTTGCGAGACATCCCAAGTGTGACATAAACGTAGCGTTGGAGAAAAATAGCCTTTATTTGCTATTGTTTGTTCCATTTTATTGCAATGATAACGCATACAAATGTATGTATTGCTTCTTATCAAATCATGTTTGAAAGGTAAAAATAATATGGTATATGTAACCAACTGCAAAGTTGTTGTAGACCTATTATATAATTAGTATACAATTAGTATATAATTAGTATATAATTAGCGTCGAATCAAGTGTTGGGGAATGCTTTGCATAACGCTTTAAAAAACACTTTACGCGTGTAGTCGTGAACAAAAAGGGGTATCGCCATACCAAATGTGAATATAAATATTAAGGTTCTGGATAATTCTTCAGAAGGTATATGACCTTTAGAAAAATAAACTTCATCTGAAGGTTACTGATGCTGAAGAAAATAAATTCAATTCTTCAGCTGCATTCGTTATTGTAGTACTGACGCCAGTTTGCTTCTGTATTTAATGTGACAGGACATACGTTCGTTATTTTCTAGTTCATTAAGTATCTGGTGATCCGCGAAACAAACTCTACGTTCTGCAGCAATAACTGATGCAGCTTTGTTGACGTCAGACTCTGCACGAGCATCTGGTCTGTCTGCACAGACGTCTAGTTTTCAGCAGTATCTCCTTTTTGATAGATATTTTTAAGGTAGCTGTTACGCAAATAAATGTATTAACTACTCCGTAAGTATATTGCACTACAGTGAAAAAGAATATGCAATTGAAGTATGGTGTGTCACATTTCAGCCATACAATTGTTTGTTCATGTCGGTTTCGGATTCTGTAATAAATACCCGGCGATCGTCGAAATACATCTTTAGTGAAAGTTTTACTTGTTCCGTTGTAGATAAGGACGTATATGTCTTAATCTTTATTTTTATAAACTTTAAACACAGAAACTCAGATAGATCGAGCATAAATCGAATGGTAGTGAACAACACAATTGAAATACCCTTTTAAAACGAACAATTGATGTCTCTTTCTCTCTCGATGTGAAAAAAAATCATTGAAGATACCCATAGAGGCAGAAAGATCTAGCGTCCAGACTTGTATATTTGTGTTATATGTTCTTATTTTCTGATATGTATATAATGTTGTGCTGCGCTAATTATGTATAATAGAGAGAGAAATCAGCAAGTGCAATATAACAGTACGTAAGAGAAAGGTATATTGTATTTAGCTATATGAAACGAACACGGGAAGCAATTGTTAAACTAAGTGTATACTAACAAGCTGACACTCAATGGTTCTTAGTTAATCTGGTAATCTGGTAACAGTTATGTTCGTGACATAATTACTCGAAGCAATATAGATTCCGAATATGTTAAAACGTTGGCTTTGTAATAAAATACAGCCTGAAGTCTTTTGTTCTGTATACAACTCCTACCATAATTTTAAATAGAAGGGCAATGCAACTCAATGCTCTGCTATTGGAAATCGACATACTGTTTGATTCTATGAACCCAACCGGACAATGTAAGCCTGCAAAACTGATAACGTTGAACCCGCTTAAGTGATATAATGTCATTCTCTACATGCCGTAAAACATGATGCCATAACGAGATAATTATAATAGACATGTTGTCAAAACACAAGAACGATATCCGAAGTCACAGCCAAATTCAACAGGAAATGGGTAGATAGTAAAATGAAACAGGCCATTGAGTCGTAAAATATTACAGGATAATAACGGTGTTCTGAAAAGATGTTTCCAGCCGTTCAAGTAGCACATGTCAAAATGTCTCCGCCAAATTAAAGAACCTGTTTACGTCACCAAGGGAGCGAGCGATTCATTGGATCTACCAGCTATTCTATAACAGTTATAAAATGTATTGGAATATTTACGGCAATTTACTGGTGTTTCGTGCATGAATTATTTTCATTAATACCATGTGATAGTAAAAAGTTTACGTTGGTAAAACCCGCGAACTGCCATAGTTATAGTTTCAACCTACCAGAGTTAGTTATAATTTACAAGAGTGTATGTAGAAATACGCAACGGATGATTAACTGTACATTACAGTGTTTTGCGAAAAATAAATTTATAATTTGTAGTTTTGTCAATATTCCTGTTATCTCATAGCGGAAGTTACCGTTCATATTAATGCTATTAAAATGATGTGTTCATCAAACAAAGCGACATATTTTGCTTCTAAGGTGTTATACATAAAAGCTCTTAAAACAAACTCACCTTTAAACCGATATAGCCGTTAGCTGCTGTCTCTTCACCAATACTTCACTGCGGTAGAGTTTCAAAACCACAGACGCTGTGTCAAATGTTCAAGAATACGTCGAGCACCAAGCTTTTAATTCAGTCTTAGTTTTTTGTCTTCTTCGGAGAAATAAGTTAACACCAATCTGTATGTGTTGTTGGTCTATAATGCCATTACTGCTCTATTGCGCCGGTCCGTGAGTCTATCAGATGTAGCGTTACGTCGCCAAAGTTGCATTTAAATAGTGCCCGTTCGCCCGCTATACATTGATCGGGTCTTTGTCTGTGTCCGCTGGTTGGTCGTGAATGCACGCCGCTATACATTACCATGGGGCCGTGCCCACGTTTGCAACGGTCTTGGTTTCTTACTGGGCTCCACTAATGGGCATGTCGTGCTTAACAAAACATCGGGATTGGTGAATGGTGATGAAATTAAAGGCGCCAACTTAACTACCTCAGGTCCTGCGTCAGAAAATATCACACATATACAAATTTGCAGGAGATAGGATTGTCGATAAAACAATAAACACTGACATACAACACGTTTTCTTATCGTCGCCTTTAGATTTTATAAACTTTTTCTAGAATGATTTGTACTGAATAGTCTTGTAGTCTTTCCTGTCGCCTTGTGATTTTACAATACGAGTTAGATCTTCCATGTGATGATAGTTTCAGAAGGACATTGATCTGTGACAAGAAACGACGCAATACAACATTTAAAAAGTATGCTAAAGTGATAAACGATATTCCATAACTAATTGCTAAAACTGAGATAGGGTGTTCGGTGATATTTTCCTGTTCATGATGGAGCACTGACAGATCCATATCGACTATCACGCTTCTCATTTCTATTTCTTAAATCCTTTAGACATGGATTTTAAATCTTTTGATCCGTGGTATCACTGATACATCCAAGTTAAACATTAAATAAGATATTCAATTTATGTTCAATAATATTTTTCAACTTATATTAATCACTCTTGTTGATCCGGATTTTAGTGCACAGGGGGTCTTCATACGGGAGGAAACCTGAGTAACCGTAGAAAACCCACATCCTAGTTAAACAGCTATATGGTTCATTGAAAATGATTGGCTACTATATCGACTTGCTATGTTTTATTTTATAGATGTCTCTTTAATTATTTCGTAAGTGAATATTCGACATTTATTATGATTACGGAAGTCGATTTTAAACAATTGGATTTTCTAAGATTGTTGTGAAATGCCAAACATACTGCCTTTTAATATCACCCCTAATCCTGAGATGGACGCGATTTCTATACATAAACTGTGATCAACATTGAACATTATGAATTTTTGTTTCCGCCACTAGTTATGATTTCTGAAATTAAGAGATTTGCGTTTTCTCGAGGATATGCTATTCATCATATACTTTTGGCTATACTTCCTAATATTGGTTGAAGCTGCTTTGCGAGAAAATAAAAGCACAATGTTGCTTTTTGTGAAAACATGTATTTTTTTAAACAAGTGAACACATTCATTTACTATAGACTATATCTCTTAATTGTCTTTTTGACTAAAGATAATGAGGAATAACCATAATAATTTTTGGATAATGCGGTGAAAACCGAAAAAAATGTTTAGTACAAAAAACGCAAACTCTATTTCGGTATTTACCGTTCGTCCCCAAAAATAAATTTGTAATTAACTAACTAGCATGGAAATCGTTCACTATTATTATTTTTATTTTTCCTTATTACAAAGAATTTCTTTTTCAGAGATGTTTTTATTCTTTATTTGACTTAATTAAAGCTAGTATATCATGGTGTGCTGTTCAAAAATATATAGAACTAATGACTGAAACAAATTTTGAACATGCACGGTTATTTAGGTTTATCTGTTGTACATTTGCAGAATAATTCACGATAACTGGAATATTCTTCTATTATCAAAAGGTATGAAAACGGATGAACGTATTGGGAAAATCCTTACCAAAACAGAAAATTATTGACAATAAAAGACAAACAAATAAAATGAAAAGATTGTTCTGTATTCTTGGTTAATTTTCTCCTTACAAAATGCATGTGTTTAAAATAAGATGTGGAGTTTGAAGTATTGTTGCGGAAGGAGAAGAATTAACATTCAGAAATGGAAGAGAAAAACGCGATAAAAATGAATGCTTGCATGAACTATAGATCTCGGAATGATGTCATACAATCATGTGTGCAAATTGTTCTGATTTTAACAAACTGGTTGTGATTTGTGATAACATATGACACTTTACATACAAAAGATGATCATCTTAGAGTTTAAACTTTAAATCAATATAAACATCATTGAACAACTTATAAATTAGATGTTATTCCTTTTTATCAAGCCGCTGAAGATACTCTACAAAGAGATTCAAAGGAATCAAGGTCAATCGATATATATTTTATCATTGTCGATTTTGGCGTAGCATTTGGGTAGTTTTATGTGACGTCATAACGTATCATGACGTTCACATTTCCTGTGGTGTGTTATTGTCTTATTAACAGGGTTCCCGTGATGAACCTCTAAAGAGGGAAACGAACTAGGGAGCTTCTTAGAAAATCTTTGTTTTATTAATTTCATTTGTACGAAGACTGCGTGTCGTTTAACATATGTACACACTCAATGTCAAAGGCATTCTTTGTTTACGTAATAAATAATGATATGACGCAAATACAACAAAATGTGTGACGCCTTTCATAGCAAAACATAGCCAATACGCCTTTAGTAACGTTATCACCAAAGCCAGAGATAGAGAAATGAAGTTCTGCTAGTGGCAATTGTTTGATTCAAGTAACATAACCAGGAAAACAAAACAAAGTACCGAATATTTTAGTCGACATTATGTTAACAATTTTATATACAATGAAGACATATAATGTATATGGATTAGAGTAAGCTCCCAAATTTATTCATTTACTTTTTTATTGTTCGCACTTCTGCCTTAGTACTGCACTGAGTTGCGTGATACACGATACGTAAAATACTTATATTAAAAAAACCTTCCATGAGTCATATAGTTAAGGCAAGTTTTCACTTTTTCAGGAGGTTTCAATATTTTGATACATTTTGAACCAGCAGAAATATTCTACATTTGGCCGTTTGTTTTACAATTGGTTTTAATGGATACAATACATAACATACGATGGGCATATGCTGGTCCACTACCTCGCAGTACTCTTGTTCTATGATGTCATAAGCACATGGCATCAATATGGACATAAATTTCCATGTCACTTGTATTATCGTGAGGAATATTTGCATTATTCTAATTCCGTTTCTATATCATACATGTGTACAGAATTTCAATAATCAATACCTTTTTGCACCTATCCATTCTTGTAGAACTATTCCAAAATATTTATCGTATACTTACCCACTCGCCACATCTCGGCAGAATCCGTACCCTGGTAGGGTACCGAAACTGACCGAGGTTTTGCCGAATGATACTTACCTAGGACTGAGGTCACAATTAAATGCTTCCGGGTTCAGTACCCACGAATGAAGTCCCTTAGAAATATAGGTACTTTAGTAAAAACTATACTATGCCTCTTAGAACTTGGTGTTTGTGTAAAAGTTTGGTGTTAAAATACTGTGGAGATATCAATCTAACAATTTCTGTGTCAAATTTTTATATTGTGCATTAATTTTTTGTGCAGGGTGCTGTGTGAAAAGTCCTGTGTTTACCTCTACCCCTGACCCGGAAGTTTATTTTTGACATTGGTGACACCTGCAGACGATTATCTCAAGAAAAAGGCCAACATGCTATGTTGAAATTTTGATATTTTACTCCCAAGATGTTGCTCTTGACCAGGTTAGATGGAAAGTTGGCTATCGGATATTGGGAATTTGTTATGAAATTAAATGTTACAATGAAACATATAGTAAAATTAATTGTGGTCTTAGTCCTATATGACTGGTCTAAAAATGCATGTTTTTATTTCTCAGATCCGTATTTTTTGACCGATTTCGATAAAATTTGGCATGATTATTCTATACTGCATCCTTGATTTTTTGAATCAAATAGTTTTTATAAAAAAGTTAAATTTGATTAAAAATTAAAGTTTAAATTCATTTTAATTTTAATTTTTTAATTATTTTTTTAATGGCAGAGTGTTTAAATATAGACACTTAAATTTGCATATTATGTGGTTTTATGTATTCCTACACCTGATTTTTAAAAGTAAAAATGGAGGAATTCTTTGAATTGTATCAATACAGAATATTAGAAAATTCAGTTATCAGTGCAGAAAATGGAACATGTAGAATCTGGCAGGGACCATTAACAAAGAATGGAAAATATGGACTGATTAGTTTCCGAGATCCCAGGGATTTGAAATGGAAAAAAAACCATGCTCATAGACTGTCATTTACGGTTTTTGAAAAAAAAATAGATATTAGAAGTGATATGGATTGCTCGCATTTGTGCCACAATAGTTTGTGTGTAAATGTAAATCACATTAGTTTAGAGCATCATTTCATTAATAATAACAGACAATATTGCTTAAATTCAAATTTATGCTATGGTCATGTAGGTTTTAGAAATTGTATGTTGGAATTGAAAGTGGCTTGATTGAAAAAACAACAAACAACTATTTTTGAGGGTATTAGCTATTGTATACACAGATACAACATTGTCCGACTACCACCACGTGGAGGTTCCCTCTTTAGGTAGTCATATATATGTAACTTTTATTTCATTTGTTACATATTTCTTGAATTTGGAATTTTGTCTTTGATTTCAAAAAAGTCCTCAAATTAAATGTCATTTTTCTCTCAATACAGGTGGTCCTGAGGTTGATTGTCTCCCCTGGTTCGATGCAGTGTTGGATCAAGTTGACCTTTCCTGTAGTCGGACTTCCTGGCAGACTTTGACCTGTTTGCATGCTCCCTGTGCTGTTCCACCAACAACTCAAGATTTCTCTTCTTGACATCGGGTTTGTACTGACGCTGGCGCTGGTACATTTCCTCGGAGCTTATTTGGTCCAGCTGATGTCGAACCTCCTTACTCAGAGTTCCACCAAGATGATCTACTTTCTGCTGAGTGGCCTTGCCTGCGGTATTATTTATGGTTAGAATTGTGTTGTCCAACCGTCCCTCAGCATTTCTTCCGAAATTCTGGTACTTTGGCAAGGAAACATTCAGCGTCCGATGACATCCCTCATTCTTTTGGGTAGATGTACTGAGTCGCATTGATTGGACCGTCTCGGTGCTGAGTTTCATCTTCAGGAGTTCCAGCACTAACATCTCATCATCTGATGTCATCTGCAGGCCGTGAATTTTGTTGGCACTTAGGAACATTGAGCGTGTCCACCAGTTATTACTGTCACCCCCAGAGCACACGACAGAATGCTGTTTGCATTTGGAGCAGTCACCGGAGTAGCAC